CGAGTTGAGGAACAACTCGGCGAGTTGAGTCAACTCGGAGCGTTGACTTTGACTTTTGACTTATGCCTTTGACCAAGTTTGTCCCAAGGGGTGTTTGAGATAATCTGAATTGTATTCAAGGAAAATATGGGCTTAGGATAAGACCCATATGTGATTGGGCCCAATTTGAAAAATTGGGCCATTAGTGGGCCTTTGGGGATCTTTTGGTTTTTGGCCTCAGTTTTGGTTCATGTTGCGGTCAGGGGTAAAATGGTCATTTTATCCAAGTATAGATGATGGGCCCTGGAGTGGAACTCAATTGCTAATTGGGTGTTATTTCGATCTGTTAGATCGGAGGTGTCGACAGGGCAGCAGCTTGGGTTCTTCCAGCAAAGCTTCAACACTCGAGGTGAGTCTCCTCACTGTTGTAGGGGTCGAAGGCACCAATACCGGCCCATTTGTTTTATGTATTATGTTGTAGGAAGACCCGGGGTTAGCCCTTGGCATTACACATGAAAGACCAGGAGGCGACTCCTGGCACACTGTATGCAAGACCAGAGTCTGAACTCTGGCAAGTAATTGGTTAAGTAGTATAGTTTGTATGTTAGTTGTCTTTGTGATGCTGCATGGAAGACCAGGAGGTGGCTCTTGGCACTTGTCTGTAAGACCCAGGGTTGTGGCCCCCGACTTGGCAAGAAGGACCAAGAGGCGGCTCGTGGCGTAATGGCAAGACTATGGCTGGCACATAGCACCTTTATTGATTATGATATATGAATGATATGTATGGCTCACGGTTATGTATGACGTGTATGGTTCGTTAGATATGTATGGTATGTGGTATTTGGGGAACTCACTAAGCTTTGTGCTTAAGGTTTTCAATTTATTGTTTCAGGTACTCCAGTTTTCAAATGAGAGAGCTCGGTACAATCGCAACGCATACACCCGCGTTTTCCGCAATATGTGATCATTGGGAATGAACTCTGAATATTGTTTTAATTGAAATGCTTTATAATGTTTGAACGAGTTTTGTTTAGTATTTTGACTATAATAAAAATGAAAATTTTACCCTGGATTTTTGGGACATTACATAATCAAATTACTTCAATAAATAATCAATTAGTAGTAACTTGCTATAAGGTGTGACCCTATATGATCATATGTCATTTGCAAATATCCTTTTTTATAATGACTCTTGGACATAAAGATCTTTTAGGTATGTGATAGATTGAGCTTATATGTAACAATCTAGTTTTCGTAATGAATGATTAAAAGATTTTAACATGGTCAAACATGCAATTGTTATGGATTGAGCTTACTACATCTACATATGAAGAAATTTAGTAAGAATGTATAAAATTTGAAATAAGTGGAATATGACATGAACAATAAATCTGATAACTAAATAGTTTGTAACTAATGAGCATTGTGACCATAAATGTGACAGAATATACTATTTGAGATACAATTGCATCATGTCTTAATGTGTAAGGTTGACTAATGGAAGTTAAACTAGTAAGTTGTGCTAGAGTTGTGTAATTAGTAACATACTTGTGAAATTGGATGGAATGGAATGTTAGGATTGAGAATGTGCTGATATTGATGAATAAAAGTATGTTATTAATTGTAACGTCCCAAAAGTTCATAGTAAAATTTTTATTTTTACAACGATACAGGATACAAACGAGTTGTTCCAAAACCGATCAAAGTAAATATATTATATAAACATCAGAGTAATATTGAAAATTGCCAATGCGGAAAAAATCTGATGGATGCTGTGTAGTAACGCCGAGCCCTTCCCTTTCGTACTGGAAGTACCTGACACCATAAACATAAAATCGTAAGCACAAAGCTTAGTGAGTTCCCCAAAATACATCATACCATACATACATAATAGTCAAAACATAACTGAGTCTATTTCACCTCCTTCGGTATCTTTCAACTGATACTAGGTCTATTTCACCCCCTTCGGTATCTTTCAACTAGTATTAGGTCTATTTCACCAACTTTGGTATCTTTAAACCGGTACTGGGTTTGTTTCTCCCCTCTCGACATCTTTCAACTTGTACGGGGTCTATTTCACTCCCTTCGGTATCTTTCAACCGGTACTGGGTCTATTTCACATATACAGTTAAGAATACAATCATATCAACAGGACTCACAAAGACAACAAGCACGCACATGCATAACAGTAAGTGTCACAAAGACAACTATCATTCTACAAACATAATCCATTGGGCCGACATTGGTGCCTTTGACCCACGAGTACAATGAAGGAAAACTCACCTTCCAATCTGAAAGATCGATGAACAGGACACTGCTCCGAATATCATCTCTATCGGTCACCTATTCATTGGAACATTACCAAACTTAATTTATAATCAGTATACCCAAAATACCCTTAGGTCAAACTTGGTAAAAAACAGGTCAATGTCGAAAAGTCCAAAAAGTCAACCGAGTCAACTCAACTGAGTATGCCCAGCGTACTCAGCTTGTACGCTTAGCATACACAATCCTTGACTAGAAACGGGGTGTTGACCTCGTACTCCGTACATATCATAGCGTACGCCCAATTTACGTTCAGCCATCATTTCCTTCTATTAAGAGCTTAATCCGTTAAGCTCTTCCGTCCAAATTCCAAATCTAGTTCTCAAATGGTGTCCTTAACCATAAAGTTTCCAACTTTATGGTCTTGCATGGATATTAAGCGCTCAATACCAAAAACCCTAACTTCTTAACTCTTTAAGACATCCTAGCTCATGAATGGAAGGAATCTAAGGTCCAAGATTATATTCTTATGGTTCCTAATAACCCCATAATGAATAAAGTTTCCAACTTTATCCATTCGAATGGTCAAACCAACAAAGATCTAGTCTTTAAGTCTCAAAGGGACCAAAAGTATATCTTTTTCAGCTTAATCCATTAAGTCCAAGTCTAACCTTTAGATATGAATCAATATGATGTTTAGATGGATGAAGTTTCCAACTTTATCCATAACAAGGTCAGAAACTTTCGAGATCTAAATTTTATGCACTAAAGTGACAAAAAAAATCATAACACCCAAAACTAGCTAGATCTAACAAATGCATCATCAAGATTCAAACTTTATAACTTAGTGACCTCAACAAGGACCAAATACGAGGCTCAAAGGTTCTGGAGTAACTTCTACTCACAAGAACCACAATCATGGGACCAAAACATGACAAATTACAACCCCAAGCTAGATTTACATGATAAAGCCATCAAGATTAAAAATTTATACCTCCAGGAGCTAGATCAAGATGAACAAAGCCTGGATCTCCATGCTCCAAGACAACCAACACTTCTGCAAGGAGTTCTTATTCTTCCAAAGGCACCAAAAATCCACCAAAATCACTCCAATGCTCAAAATCTATCAAAATGGGGGCTAGGGTTTCGAATTTAGGGTTAGAGGGGATGGAGACTGAAGATAAGGAGGGTTGGAAATGAGTTAAGGCCTTTAAATAGGGTCCAAGACCCTAAATTCGGGTTTGAGTCTGAGTCGTGTACGCCCATCGTACATCTGGTACGCCTAGCGTACACGAAGGAACCTTCGCGGTCACTCAAGCCATGTACGCCCAACGTACATCCCTTGTACGCCTTTAACCATTCTGACTTCCGAAGACCATAACTTCCTCGTTCTAACTCCGATTTCAATGATCCTTATATCCACAGAAAGGTATTGAGGAGCTCTACAACTCTATCTAATTACTTTTGATTTACAACACCTCGAACTAAAATCTTTAATTCATGAAAGGCCCAGGCCATCAATATTACCATTATACCCTTGGACTCCAAAACATAATCCGAACTCTTACATCACATAATCTACATTACACACATCCAAATGGTTTTAAACCTCTCTTTCCCCAAAGCCCGAAGCCTTAATATAATTGATCTTCGTGTCACGATCCCGAATTATGAAACGATTCGCAACAAGGTATTACATTAATAGTTTTTAGAAATAGTGATTGCTCTGTCTTTTTACTTTCTAACACCCATGATGAAACTATTATTTAGCTATAATTTGCAAAAAGTTGGATCGTATTTTTTCTAGACAAAGTCACCGTTGCAAATGATGTCATTTTGTTTCTAATTCCTGATCAATAACATTGGGGTCTTATAGTGTAGTTTACGCTAATAGCCTCAATGTGAGGATTAAAGACCGGACAACATGGCTGAAGGAAACGTGTGTGCCAAGAAGCTGATTTGAAGACTTTGTGATAAGGGTCAGATGTAATTAAATAGAAGATATTATTTCCTTGTATGCATGAAGACTCCGTATCTCTTAGGGATTGTTCATCACAGCCAGACCTAGTATTTATGTAATACCAACAAGGGTTTTGTTTATCTTAAGTACATTGTAATTGATAACTTTCTCTATGGAAGTTTTCTTCAAGAGTGTGTTCGTAACCTAAGTCTGTTCGAGGTTCTCTATTGAGTGTATGAAACTAATTATCAACAAACTAATTAGTTTCTAGGTCTTTCTTGATCTTGTGTTTATCAATGGACCAACATAATGCCATTTGTGTCATTCCCAAAAAAAAAAAAATCCACCATTCTTCATTATTCTTTAGTCTTGCATGTATTCTAACTTCCTCGTCATGTGCAAAGGGAAAACACTATCAATAAATGATTCACAATCAAGCCTATCTTCACACAACCTGCAAAATCAACAAAATCAAGTACATGATTTGGACACCTAAACTTGTTTGGTGTTAGAGACTATCGGGACTTGTAGAGTTTTTTAGTATGAGAGGAAGCTTCTAAAAATAGAGGCTTTAGATTGGGGATAGATTGATTTTTCAGCCTTTTGTTTTCTTTATTAAGCTTGATTTAAGAGGGGGAGTTGTTTTGTTGAGATAAGAGCTTTCTTTCTTTTCGATCTCAACTGAAAAAATACAAAACATTAAAGTTTTCTTATTAACCTAATAGTTGTATTCTCTACCTATACCATTAATCCTAAATAGACTATTTGGAAAATGTAAAAAAAAAACAAAAAAGACTAAGCTTTAAATAAGAATTTATAATTTTTGGCATTAATTGATGGGGAAAAAAAGGACAAGAAGACATTATCAGTATCTTTACTATGTTACAAAAAAATCATTCTAAACACATTAAATTAGCCTATCAAACATGTTGGCAGCCCTCTACTTTATCATTTCTCCCTTCAAACTTGATGTATTTGTACCAGTTTGCCACTAACAAATACACCACAAAATCAGCACTTGTCAAAATGGCTAATAGAAAGTAGAAGTTGTCCAAATGACCCTTGTTCAGATTTCCAGGAATCCATCCAGGCATTCTTTCACTACTAGAAATCTTCATCACAATTGTCACAAGCAAACTGCTCACATAGTTCCCTAGTGAAATCGATGTCATGCATAGTGCGCTTCCAAAGCTTTTAAGCCCATCTGGTGCTTGCCCATTAAAGAATTCCAATTGCCCTACATACATGAAAACCTCTGAAGCTCCAATAAGTACGTATTGTGGGACTTGCCAGAATATGCTCAAAGTGCTTGACCCTTCACATGTGGGGCAATCATTGTCCTTATATTTCAACCTGAAGTGCTCGACAGTGCCTGCGACTATCATTGCTAGTATCGCTATGACAAGGCCAACCCCCATCCTTTGAAGCTCGGTTAATCCTCTGGGCGAAGGAGATTTCTTTAGTCTTGCCACTAACGGATCAAGAACCCGTCTATAAATGAATATAAAGGCTGCAACACTGAGGATGTCAAAGCTGGACATGCTTGCTGGAGGAATGTGGAAGCTTGAGATGTTGGTTTTCATTGCAGCTCCTTGTTCGACAAACAGAGAGGCCATTTGAGTGAATACTACTGAATAGAGGATTGTGCATAGCCAAATAGGAAGGAGTCTTAATATGCATTTCACTTCCTCGACTTGTGTTACAGTACATAGGTGCCATGGGCTTTTAATATCTTCTTTCTCAAATGAATTTTCCTTAGAGGTGATAACCGCAGCTCTATCCAAGAATCTGGAATGAAAGAAATGATCAGCATCGAAGGAAAAAAGGTGCTACAAATAATTTGGGAAATTTTGAACTTGATTGTTGAGTAAGGAGGTGAGTTAATTAGAAAAAAGAAACATACTTAAATCCTTGGGTATGAAGAATATTTCTGCTGCCATTATTGGGATTTTCTTTGCCATCGACTTCATATAATTCATCACCATTAGAAGGGATAGCAACCTTCCATTTCCTGAATGAAGCAACCATAACTTGGCAAAATCTTGATAAAGGATTTCCACTGGGTACAAAATGTCTATATCTTGGTGTGCCCACAAGAAACAAGATCAACGCCACAATTGCAGACCCCGCAGATGCCCAAAACCCTAATGCCCACGTCCCTCTGTCTTCAAAATACCCTATTATGGTGTTCGAGAAGAGTGATCCAAGATTTAGGGCCAAGTAGAAGTAGCTAAAGAATGATACTTTTCCATGTCCTTCTTCGGGATGATCCTCATCAAACTGATCTGCACCAAATGTGGCTATGTTGGGTTGGTACCCACCATTTCCAAGGGCAATAAGGTAAATTGAAACGTAGAACATAGCCGTTGCAAAGCCCGAATGAGTCCCACATGGAGTTTTTTCATTGCCGCATCCTTCTGGTTTCACCAAGAATATGTATGACGACAGTGATAACGATATCAAGCCCTGCGCATGTCACATTAATTGAAAATATTAGTTGGAATAAAGATCGATCGATCGACATCAGTTTTAAGAAAGCTGATCTCAAAGAAAAAAACGAAATCTAGGCATGCATAGATTACTGAAAGATTCGTAATCACTGTTCAAAGATCCATGCAGACACTGTGAACGATGATGTGATTAAAGTTTTGTAGTGTTTAGATGCTTACCACGACAAAAATGGCCTGAAAGATCGCACAAGTCTTGTAACGACCCCAATACGAATCACTAAGAAAGGCACCAAGGAGGGAGAAGATGTACACAGTGCCAGTCCATTTACTAACACTGTTCGCGGCTTCAGCATTATCTTGACCCATCACTCTCGTTAGAAAGAGAACCAAGTTCACCCCGACTCCAAAGAATGCTAGCGTGGCTAGACCTTGGTTCACTGTTTTCATATTTTCCATTACAAGAGAGACAAATGTTAGGCATATATACAAATATGGAGTACGAAGTTCTGGTTGTAAACTTATATATAACAGCTCCGAACATGTCATGTACCATATAAAGGATATGGGATTTATGTCGGAATGATTGAGATGAATACCGAAAGCAAATAATTCATAATAACGATAATCAGGTGGACCAATGATTTTCTCATCGTTTCAAAATTTGATTTTTCTCTTTGTTAAATTACTTGATTATGTTATAAAAAATTCTTAATATTTTGAATGAAAGCATACCAAGTATGAGGATTGCAGCAAACCATGATCCTGTTCTTTCTCGGACTGCTGGTCGGCCTTTTCTATCGACTGATCCATCCTGAGTGCATTCCTCGTTCTTTTTCAGGGTTTTCTCCTCGAAGTTCCTCTGAAAACGAAATCATTATTTAGTAAGAAACAACACATGAACAAATACAAAAATGATAACTTTTTAGTTTCTTATATTGTAAGAAAAATGAGATTGATCGTTCAATATTCGTGGAGTGGGTGCTGTTATAAACTTAAAAACAAGATCCAAAGACATGGGTTGAGTTCAGTTGTCCAGCTTATACCCTCGATATGTAACTTGTTTGCAAGATGAAAACCCCAAGCAACAACAAAATATTTGAAAAGTTTTTTTTTTCTTCATTTTAGGGAAATGGAACAAGAACAAAAAATTGAGTAAGAATCAAGCTAAAACCAACCATTTTAACCATGTTTAAGCAAGCCATAATAGGTTGTTGCTCCTCTCGATGATATGGTTATCAAGATCCAAAAAGTATAGAGAATCAAGAAGGATTTAGAGAGAGAAAGAGGGAGAGAGTTAGATTCAATGGTGATGGGGATTAGGAGAGATGGGTATTTATAAAGGATATGAGTATCACGATGCTCATAGAAGGCAGGTAGTTTGGTGAAAGATGAGATTACGTATGAGAGTTGGCAGTGAAATTGATGTTTTTGTGTTGTGTCATTGCAATCCACTAAAATGATTGATATCTCTTAAATTAATCTAGAGATCTGGAGTTTAAATTCGCACTTAGCTATTGTTTGGTAAATGAAAAGAGACGCATAAAAAAAGGTAGTGAAAATTTCATTTAAAAGGTGCTTTTTTAAAAAGTTTTTAAATGGATTGCAGTTTCTCACCTCTTTCTGTGTGTTACAGTGAGGAACATCATTAAACCACTTGAGAAACAAACAAAAAAAGATGACAAAGAACCTGGCTGGAAAAGGAAAGCAAATACAAAAAAAAACTCAAGAATTTCAGGTTCACGTGTAACAAGTTGTAGCCTCGTGCGCATTCATGGTTCATTGAATGTGGGTTGATGTCTGAAGTGCCAAAAGTCACTGGTCTTTTGACATCACTAACAAGCAATGCTATATTTTCCACTTGTGTACATCTTTGTAGTTACATCATTAATTACATGTATATTTTGAGCATCCAAAATACAAAGATCAATGACAGACATATAAGCATAAGGTAAAACAGATAGTTTAAAACTCAACCAGTATTGGATGTCACCTGAAATTCAATGAATATAAAATTTAATAGCCACTGAACTAATTTAATAACCCTTGAAATGTTCAAAATAGGAAAAAGAAAACTTTTAAATCCTTAAATAAATATCTTAAATTAGATTTTGTAATAAATGATTTTTTTAAATATGTTTTTGAATATTTTAGAGTTCAATATAATGAAAAACATTGAAAGAGTTGAATGAAAAGTGAAATGATGAGATACTCTTAGTTAATAATATATACATATATATTACATATAATTTACCGCTGTAATTAAGCCTTGTAAAATTGCTGTGTGCTTAGTTGATGACAATAAGCGCACAAACTAACATATTTAAATGTAAAACCATTTCATTACAAATTTGAGAAGTAGCCGGGGGATTATTCCTTGTATTCGCTACATGACACTCTCCCTTCTCAATTGTTTCAACAATATTCATGCCAAATACCATATTTAATAAAACTTTGGTTAGTATCATATATATGAAAACCTATTAGTAATTTAGATCCATACATTATTTCATTCAAAGAAATAGATTTGGCTGTAGTTAATTTGGATTTAATATTAATGTTTATAAATCATGTGATGTATAGCAATATCCTGTTGATATACACTGAATATCCGTGTCATATAAAACAAAATATATCAAAAATACATAATCTCATCAACGTTAGAACAGAAACGTGACATAACTGGATACATAAAAACACCAATTGATCACCAAACCTTTGTTGTCTCTTTCACCCTCTCTAAGTTCCCCACCACCATGGACTAACTTTGTAATTGTGTGATTAAGCTGTCTTGACGTGGACATTATCTTTTTTTAAAACAATGAAATTTTCCTAGTTACTTTTTCGGTCTTTTTGAGCATTGAAATCTTGCATTTTAAGCCTATATTTGGTGTATATATAATAAGATAGTTAATTGGTGTAAAAAATGTAAGCCATATATGTTCAACATAAGGACAAACTCAAGAAGACAATACATGTCTTTATATATATATATATATATATATATATATATATATATATATATATATATATATATATATATATATATATATATATATATATATATTCTTAAACATATAAAATATTCTTATATAAATAATTTACCATGATATGTTGTTTTACAACATCCTGTAACGTGAGAGAAACTTTATTCCAACTTCCTTCATCATCCCTATGTCCCCGACCCATAACAACAACCATGGTGTAAAGAAACAAGATACAAATACACGCCATTACCTAGATGAGATAAAGTACTAAAAAAACAGTCCCGAATCTGTCTTAAACAAACAATCATGTAATACATGTTCACATCCTAGATGAGATAAAGTACTCAAAAAACAGTCCCAAAACTGGGAGAACCCAAAATTGAATTCTAAATCAATTTCATGCGGGTATATTCTAAACTCATGATGATTACAAAGAAGACACGCAAACGAATAAAAATTAGAAATTTTTTTTTGTTATTTATAGCATCTTACTTTTGTATATTTTTGTTATTATGGTATTTAATTTTGTTTTAAGTTTTCTATAATAGAATTATACTTTAAATACTATATATATATTTTTCTATTTGAGAATTGTACTTTTGCAAAATTTTTAATTAATAATATATTTTTTTTCCTATTAGAACGTTGTACTTTAAACAATTATATTATGTTATTTTTTAGTGTAATATTATATTTTAGATGACATTGTGAATAATAGCATCTTACCTTTTTTGTTTATTCTACTATAACATTCTACTTTACACATTATGTACTTTTGAGGGCTTGCCTAATTAAGTTGGTATTATTCGATGTTATTTTAATTTGTCGACATTGAATTTTTTTTATATAATCAAATAGAATTTGGAAGATATTTTTTTGTTAAACATACAATCATGATAATTACATAACTAATTCATAATATTCTAAACAGCTAAGTCATAACAACAACAACTTTTAGGCTTAAAAAAGTAAGTACAACAAAAACAAAGAGTCATTATGAATTAAACCTTTAAAATTAATGATTAAGCCCTTAATGATAAAGCCTTTAAAACTTACGTTATGTTTCAAATTTCATGCAACTAAACATATACATTCCAAATTGCATACAAAATTTTCTTTTCCATACAAATACACATATACAAACATAATTTCCAATTTTCATGTATACATTACACATACATATACATTATGTACACATACAACTACACGTACATATATATTATATACTCATACCACTAGTATATATATATATATATATATATATATATATATATATATATATATATATATATACACATATACATACACAAATACATTACATACACAAATATACATACATTATATACTCAAATACACATATAAGTACAAAAAACATAATTGTATACTTAAATACAAATACAAATACAATATTTTATACAAAAATACACATATACATATAAAAAAATATGAGAAAAACAAACCTGTGAGGCTGTCTTGAAGATTTTTAGGTAGAAAACGGTGGTGGTGGCGATTCTCCGGCGGGATTTGAGAGTTGAATTTCCGGCAGATTTCAAGAAATCGGGCAAGAAAGGCAAAGCAAATCAGAAAAAACCAACATATCAGTGGTAAGATAAGAAATAAAAAGGGAACACATAAAAACTTATCTATTTTCTTGCCGGAGGAAGGTTTTGTCGCCGAAAAAGCTTCAGGTTGTTGAAAACAGTGGGGTCGCTTGTAACACCCTGTTCGGAATCATTCTGTGATTCAGGATCGTGGGCCAAAAGTCGATTGGTTAAAGGCTTTGGGCCTTAAGGAGGCGACGTTTAGACCTTTTGTAAGGAGGTAATGATGGTTATGCGATCTAAACCTTTGAATTGTGTTTTGGAGTCAAAGGGTAAAAAAGTAAAAGTCATAGGCCGGGTTCTTGCATGAAATATGGATTTTTTTGGAGAAGTTTTTTAGTCCAATATTGTAGATATCTTCAATACCTTTCCGTGGATATAAAGATCGTCGAAAACGTAGTTGGAATGAAGAAGTTATGACCGTTTGAAGTTAGGGCTGTTTTGGGTTGAGTCGCGTACGCTGGGCGTACCTGGGCATCCCTACTACGCTTGGCGTAAATTGAGTACGTTGGGCGTACGCGATCAGTGCCCAAACCCTATTTTTGTGGTTTGAGCCCTATTTAAGCTCCTTAACTCCCCAAACCCATTCCATTCTCAGCCTCCACCTCTCCAACACCCTCTCTTGTAACCCTAACCCTAGATTGAGCCTTGTGAGCAAAACGAAGGTGTTTTTAAGTGCTTTGGAGTGTTCTTGGTGCACCTTGGAGAAGAAGGAACTCATTGAAGAAGTGTTGGTTCCATCTAAAGATCATTTTGATTAAGTTGAAAAAGTTGCACTTTTGGATCCCTTTGAGACTAGAAGATTGGATCTTGTTTGTTGGGACCATTATAATGGATAAAGTTGGAAACTTTATCCATTACAGAGCTATTATGAACCATAAAAATGTGATTTTGGCCCTACTATCCCTTCCACACAAGAGTTGTGATGTCTTATTAGGTTAAGAACTTAGGGTTTTGGACATTAAGCACTTTATAGCCACGCAAAGTCATAAAGTTGGAAAGTTTATGACTTAGGACATCATTTGGGGCGTGGATCTGAGTTTTCGACGTAAGGGCTTAATTAAATAAGCTCTTAATGGGGTTTTAGGATTGAGCTGTGTACGCTGGGTGTACCTGGTGGTAGGTTGTACGTACGCGGTCAACGCCCCGCTTTTGGTCAACATTAAAGTACGTTGGACGTACTCTCTTGGTACGCAGGGCATACTCCGTTGGGAAGAAATATTGAATTTTGGACCTTGAGCGTTGACTTTGACTTTGACCAGGGTTGACCAAGTTTGACCTAAGGGATTTTTAGGTAATTTGATTTATAGTTTGGGATTTAGGTTCCTGTTAATTGTATAGGTGACTGGTAGAGATAGCTTTTAGAGCAATGATCGGTGCAGCTAATCTATCAGACTATGAGGTGTGTTTTCTCACTATATCAATGGGTCTAAGGTACCAATGCTGACCCAATACTTGTTATGTGGAATGGTAGTTATCTCTGTGATGCTTGTATGAAAGACTAGGATCTGGCCCCTGACAATCGTACGATAGACCAGGATCTGGCCCCTGACAATTGTATGAAAGACCAGGATCTGACCCATGGCAGTTGTATGAAAGAACATGATCTGGTCCCCGACACTTGTATGTAAGACCAGGATTTGGCCCTCGACATTGCAATGAAAGACCATGGGGGTAGCCCATGCCACTTGTATGTTTTGGTATGTTGTATTTTGGGGAA